TTAAAGACAAGATACCCAGGGATTCCTGGAGCCACAGCCCATAATAAGGCTCTTAAACCTGTAAGGTAGGTCAATTTTTAGGCTTAATTGCCTTGACAGCATCTCTAATAAAGCAGACCTTTCTATTTAAAAGATAAAAAGGAGGGGGGGGAAAAAGAGGTTGCTGTAAGTTACTCACACTCCCTCCCTGCTCTGGTTTGGGAGGATTTATACAATGTCTTTCAAAGCCCCAGAGAGGTGAGGTGAGGGATTAACTTCTTGGTGGGAAGGGCTCACTCCTCCCCAGTGACTGCGTGTCGCAATGCAAGTGGAACATCAGCAACTGGATTCATCCATTTGGGGCAAATTTAGAACTTCAGCCTCCTAGCAGGCAAGGGTAATTCCAGCAGCTGGGATGATTTGTGTCAGGGCACCATGGGATGGGGTCCTTGGTCCAAGAGTGGGAATGGGGAGAAGAGCTGAGACAGGAGTTTGTCTTTGGGCAAAACAGTGATGGGCACAGCAGTGGCATATTCCAGTGAGTGCCCAGTGCTGGAGACAGCAGGTGTGTCCTGCCCAGTGCTCATCACACCACCAAATCCTTTCCTCAAATCCATTTTAGTCCTTTTTTTTTTTTTAACCAGACATTATCATTAAGCATCTAAATGACCTGGTGCACATCCAGTCCATCCTGCAGCACAACACAGCTGCTCAGGGACCAGCACGGTCCTTTTTCTCCCCCCTCCTTAATTCTCTAATCATTCTTAAATTATTTTAATATCATGGCAGCACCAGCCTTCACTATTTTTTTCCTTCTTTCTGGAAACATGGAAAATTTCCTTCTCTCTCCCCAAACAGCTCCTAGCCAACCCGCCCACAGCGTTGCCTTCTCTTCGGGCTGTCTCCAGCCCAGATGGTGGAGGGTCAAGCACTGACAGCTGGCCCAGCAGCACAGCAGCAGGGATGTAATTATTTTTAATTTAATTCTAATCGAGAGAGGGGAATGAATGTGCAAAACAACAACTGTTTGCCTAAGTCAGGTTTGCTCAGTCCTTGCAAATTCATAGAGAAAAGGAGTGTGAGGTGAAGAGCTGCAGCAAATCACCCTCGATGAGGTGAGACACCTGAGTAGAGACTCCAGACTGTCACAGACACCAACCTCTACAGCCTCTAACACAGGGAAAAGCAAGGATGACACCCCTGTGCCCCCACATCCCACCCAACACCATGAACCCCAGGCCCCCACAGCTCGATGGTTTCACAGCACATCACTGCTCACAAGGGGATGGCTCATCCCAGGCGAAGCAAATTGCAAGCAAAATGGCTATCAGCACTTTTCTCCCCTTCAGGAAAATTGACTTTAATAATTTGGACAACTTGAAAGGCTCCTGCCACAGGGCAGGAGGTAAATATTCATGAGGGAGTGTTTCCAGGGCGGGCACAGCGGGAGTGCTGCCTTCCCTGGGGGTCCCCACGTCCCCTCCTTCCTCACATCCCTTCATCCTTCATCGAGGCAACTCCTGAAGTTATTCCTATCGATTTGCTCCATCCGAATGCTAACGATCAACAGTGCAATGGGGGAAGAGCAGGCACAGAGGTCTGCAGCTCTCTGGGTAATTGCAGAGATGTTCTCTGGCTTTAATCTTTGCTTCACGCCAAGTCCCAGCACTGCTGTACATCTCCACCAACCTCATCCTCCTGCTCCCAAACCTCATCTCCTCTATCTCAGCTTCCCCTTGCTCTGGCTCTGCCTGGAGGATTCCCAGGAGATCCCTCAAAGGTACCAGCTCTGCCCTGAGCAAACACCTACAATGCTCAGTACCGAAGGAAGGTGGGAGCATGTGTGTCCCTGAGGCTGCAGGAGAGGAGGATTTCTGCCTTGAATGTGCAAAACATTCCACAGGAGAAGCGAGGAAGGAAAAGTAATTAATGCTGGAAAGGGAGAGCCAGGCACCAGCAACTGCTGCTGTCCAAACCCAGCAGTGGGGACATCACCCCAACACCTCCTCTGGGCCATACCTGGGTCCTCATGATGGTTTTGATAGCAGCTTCAAACTCTTCAGAGTTATTGTAGTCGACAGTCCACACATGTGGCTTCCCAATGAAGTCTTCAGCATATGGGTGTTGGGAGGACACCTAAAACACAGTGGTATCAGCTGGATTTTGCAATCCCTGCTGGAACAGCTACTGTCTCCCACTCACAGCCATGGCAGCAGAGAGGAGCAACAGGCTCACACACAGATTGATTTTAACCCACTGCACACAGAGATGTGCTGGAGGAAGGTTTCCTCTGAACCCAGCT